CGCCACAAGCCTACTATAACTTGGTATTGTCGCCACAAGCTAACTATAACTTGGTATTGTCGCCACAAGCCTACTATAACTTGGTATTGTCGCCACAAGCTAACTATAACTTGGTATTGTCGCCACAAGCCTACTATAACTTGGTATTGATTATTTTGTCCTGTAACGTTTTTACTTTAATTTCTGTCAATTTTCTCGTATCATCTATTTTTCAGAACCCTAGTTAAAAACAGCCATATTGTGGTTCATTACTATGTTTATCTAGATTGAGAATCCATATTCATATTCTAAATTAACCAGCTATGCTCGTAAAAGCAAAAAGCAAGATCCGGAGAAAATGGTTCAAAAGGATTACTGAAAGTTGGTTTCTATCCGTCCCGATAATTCACGTTACAGTGCCCTAAAATAGTTTCAGCCGGAAGAGTGTCGTTTACTTTCTATCCAGATGGTTCAGATTACCTAGCCCTAAAACACTTTAACGGGAAAGAGTGTCGGGTTCTATCCGTCCAGATGGTTCAGATTACCTTGCCCTAAAACACTTTAACCGGAAGAGTGTCGGGTTCTATCTGTCCAGATGGTTCAGATTACCTTGCCCTAAAACACTTTAACGGGAAAGAGTGTTGGTTACTATCTATCCAGATGGTTCAGATTATATTGCCCTAAAACATCTTTAACCGGAAAAAGTTTTGGTTTCTTGCCATCTAGATAGTTTATATTACCAAGTCATAAACAGGGTTGCTACAGGCTGATATTCCAAGAATTTTCAACTCCGCTAGGTGATTCTGTAACAAAATGCTCAGCTATTTAATTTTTCTTTGTGAGCAAGTCTCCATCAGACGCTTTACTGTTATACTTGCATCATCCTTATCATGTTAATTCTTTCTCTCTCTATCAGACGCTTTACTGTTATACTTGCATCATCCTTATCATGTTAATTCTTTCTCTCTCTATCTCTTCTGTTTGTAGTTTAACACAATAAACAGAGGAATGATAGCGTATAAGAACAAAAATGAAGTCGAAGGATTAAGATGAATATGATTATGAACAAAAAGAAGTCGAATGATTATGATGAATATGATTATGAACAAAAAGAAGTCGAAGTATTAAGAAGAATATGATTGTAAATAAAAAGAAGTCGAAGTATTATGATGAATATGATTGTAAATAAAAAGAAGTCGGAGTATTATGATGAATATGATTATAAATAAAAAGAAGTCGAAGTATTATGATGAATATGATTATAAATAAAAAGAAGTCGAAGTATTATGATGAATATTATTATAAATAAAAAGGAGTCGAAGTATTATGATGAATATGATTATACAACTTACCTGTTGGCCATTCAAGAGGCCAGTAGCCACCAGCTTTTGTTTCCTATTTAACGCTGTATTACATTTAGCTAAAGATTCTACAACGAGGGTGGAATACACCAATTAGTTCTATTGTATAATTGATCTTGATTACTACATTTAGCCTCCAAGTCTTCTGCCAATAGCTCAGACCCAACTCAAGCTCAAAGTTTTGGATATCTTCAGCTTAGTCTGTTCAATGTCCATTCAATATCCAACGTTAAAATCTTCGACCTATGAGAGCGTTTGTGGTACACTTAATAATAATTTAAAACTAAAGAAAAACTTTCAAAAAGGAAATAAATGTAAGGATGGCTAATATCAATACTTCAAAAACAATGTAAACAAGATAGTAAGGATGGCATTTTCATCATCTTTACATAATAGCACAGGCACACAGTGTAGTAGAATGTTAACAGACAACAGTAGGATAGGTTAACTCAACTGTAATTGAATAGTTATATATATTACTATATGTTAATTCTTGCCTGTGCAAATGCCATGCCCATCTTGTTTCCATTGTTTTTGAAGGATTGATATTAGCCATCCTTACATTTACTTCCTTTTCGAAAAATTTTTCTTTACTTTTTTTAATGCAATATTATAAGATTGTGCTTATAACCAAGTTCTAACTACAATGAGGTTCTAACTATAATATTTATTGTTTATCTATTATTGACTGGTAATTCCTGTTTCACCCTGTATTTAAGCTTTTTAAAAGTAACATTAATTTTCTGTAAGAAAGCTAACTTCAAGGGGTAATGATAACATCGTTTACATTAGAATTATGACTTTTTTAACTTATTACTAGTTATTGATAATTCTTATAAAAGCAGATACTCCGACTGAAACTATGTCACCTCAGTGAACTTGGTTGACACCATTGTTTTGGTTTTTTAGTTATCATGTAATAAAAAAGAAGCAGAAGAAAAAAGAACAAGACATTAAAACTTTTTTCTGTCATATTTACAGACATTCCCAGAACTTGTGACTCAGTCATTACATAGATATTGTTATAAAAGGAAACACTGTATAGTACTGTAAAGTTCTGATGACCTATTGAGGAGATATATAAAATACCATTTCGAACAGTCCGAGCCATCCTTACATAGACAGTGCCGCCGCCTGCCTGGTATGTTCAAAATCAACCATGTTGCACAACCTAGAAATTAGCGTTAATAACATAAATTATGTCTCCAATTTAAAAAGTCTCATGGTAAAGATGATGAATAAAACTTCCTTTAGAAATAATAGTATATATCTTTTTACCCAAAAGGATGAATGTAAACAACTGAGAAAAATCTCAACTTCACTATCTTCCAAACTCTTGCCAGTCAGTGTATTTGTTTTTATCCAGAATTTCTAATATTTGTGGCAAACCCAATAACTTATTAAGGATATTAAAAACCTTTCTTACTTTTTAACAACTGACCAGGTGGAAAACAGTCAATCAACAGCACCCTACCACCCACCATTTACGCTAAGGAATTGACTGTCACTCGTATAATACATCCACAACTTAAAGTGAGGAAATAATTTTATGGTATAATACAGGTTCGAACCCGTCTTGTTAGTTTCGAAATTCAGAGTTTTACCACGGAGCAACTCGTGCAATATTTCAGCCAAAGGTCCATTTCAGACATAAAATATTAGGCGATAATTTCTTGTTGTTGTTGATATGATACCGATAAATAAAAATAAAACGTTTTTGATTTTATTTCAGTTAATTTTAACACTTACGTTTTAATGCTGTTTGGTCGAGCATGACCTGTAATTCGTCTGCAGGCCTATGAAAATGAGGATCCATGGTTCGCGTCCTGATGCAGCAAAATCATGCTCCGCACTTTAGAGCCGTGAGTACGTTATAACGGTGACAGTCAAATCCCACTTTTTTTATTATAGTAGCCCAAGAGTTGGCGGGTGGTGATGTTGACTAGTTGCCTTTCCTTTAGTGTATGAGTTGCTAGCGCAGATAGCCCTTTGTAGTTTGTGCAAACATACAAAATAAACAAATGATACTTTTAATACGAAAATTGTTAGCATACGTCATTGAACAGCTTATATGGTCACGTGATAAATTTCTGTGTTATCCAAAGAATCCACACTTTCTCCTCGATTTTTACTGATAGTGCTTCTCTCTCTCTCTCTTTCAATAAAGTAAATATACCCTCGGACATCCTCGTAGCTTAGGTTAATAACTCCAGATTCGCAATTAAATTTTTTTCAGGGGGAAATCGCCGAGATTATGAAAAAATTCTAACTCCTGTCATGAAGGTCAATATCAATTCATTTACACTGTTGTAAATTAACCTAGCATTTTTTTATGCAACGTGAACGTGCATTACGTCGTCCACACTGGTAAATAATCATACCCGTATTATCACTTGACACTAGCATGCGCACTTGTCTCCATAGTGCACGCGGATACCGTTACAGCGCGTGCTCTGCTTTCTGTAACAGACGGTGATGCTCGAGAACAACATTCCAATTGCGTGCACCATACGAAGTGCGTCACAGAACGAGACGAAGCGGCAGTCTTCTTCACCAATGCATAACAATCTTCTTGTAGCCTATCAGCTACTTCCGTCATCTCCTCGCAATCTTCTATTTGCCAATGAGTTTCGACTTGTTTGTTATTGGTTGTTCTAGTCTATTGTAATATCTTCTGTGTTCGAAGACAAAGTAAATGCTCGCGTTACGCCCTCTCGATTATTTCATCGACCGCGCGTCTTGAGCTAAGAACGAACGCTCTTCTCGCTCTAGCACCAGCTCTCGCTGGACTCGTGCATCAGGCGCTACTAGCCCTTCACGGAAATCCGGTGGAACTCACTACAAGCAACAAGTGTAGCCGAGATTTGATTGTTCACTCTACATGATTGTTCCGTAAGTAGGAAACCTATATCGTTCATAAATGTGGAACAGAAAGTATTCAGGTTACTGGTATAGAACGTCAATTAGTTTTCTCACTTAGGGTGCTTTTGATTTTTGCGTATTGGTAACTTAAAGGTTTAGTGGGTAGCTAGCTATAAGTTATTAAATCCATTTTTATGAAACAACTCCAATGTTGACTGGGTGCGATGGTACAGTGTATGACGCTGACACGATGATGATGACAAAATGATATATTAAACTCGTTGCGCTCGACTTTAAAATAGCGTAATGACGTAGGTTTAGATATGCCGTACAAGAGCAGTAAGTAAACTTTACGCCGTTATACCGCAAACACCACACAAAACGCGTCGTTTAAGTTTGATACCTTGAACATGCCAAATGGATGATACTATGTTATTGTGATGAATCGTGTATCACAAAGGAAACGAAGTTGATAACTTATTTATATAGTACTTTAGACTTTCAGCGCTGCATGTTGTCCATGAGCTCAGAATTAGATACAAATACTCGAGCTCGGAATGTCTGTTCCGATTTGCAGCTGTCAGCTATTCAACCAAACGATATGTAAACTCTCTAAGGTTATTAAGCATGGTTTAGGACACGAGTGCTAGTTAGTTTATAGGGGGGGGGGGGGGGGTGCTGGCAATGTAGCCATATGATTAGTACGAGTTTGTGTGAATGGAACTGTGTGTGGGGGGGGGGGGGGGCTAGAACAGATCCACTTCATAACGTTCTACAAAATCACGTGATCAAGCA